CAGGCGTACTGCGTCACAGAGCCCGGGGCGGGCTCCGACGTGGCCGGCCTCAAGACGCGAGCCGTGAAGATGGGCGACGAGTACGTCATTAACGGGCAGAAGATGTGGATCACCAATGGTGGAAAAGCTAACTGGTGTGTACTCGGTACCACTGCTGTTGCTGTACTCGAAGAATATTTAAAAATATCACTCACTTTAATTCAAAACTGAACAATGTAAACTTTTATGAAGGGAGGCTTTATTGCTGGGCTGTTGTATGAGACTGCATTAGTTTTAGCTAATTGTATCTTATAAAGTGGAAATACAGTGTGTGTGTGTGTGTGTGATCCCTAAAGTCACTGAATACAAAAACATCTGACAACTGTTCTGAAGGTTATTTGAACTTTTATATTCTTATTCTTAGGTACTTCCTCTTGGCCCGCTCTAACCCAGATCCTAAATGTCCAGCCAGTAAAGCTTTTACTGGCTTCATTGTGGACGCTGACACTCCAGGAATTCAAATAGGAAGGAAGGTATGATGAGGCTGATTTAAATGAACATCTTTTACACTCAAGCCCTTGCCAAAAGACTGTACACAATTCTAATTAAGCCATCGTCACCAGGTAAATCTCTCTGTATTACACCATATACAGAGCTCCCGCTGCATGAACCTGTATTGTATGCCTTTGTTTTTTTATATATTGCCCTCTAGGGAAAAAGTAGCTTCATAGAATATATATCAATTTAACTGTTTAGTTATTTTTGTTTAATACACTTGGATCAATATGAGGATTTTTTTTTGTCGACACAAGGACTCATTAATTGTTAGTTGAACTGTGGATTTTGTATTGAGCACTGACTGTATAATACTGTATAATATGTCGCTGTGTTTGTTTTGTGCTTGTAGGAGATGAACATGGGCCAGAGGTGCTCTGATACCAGAGGCATCACCTTTGAGGATGTGAGAATACCGAAGGAGAACGTCTTGATCGCAGAGGGATCTGGCTTCAAAATTGCCATGGGTGCCTTCGACAACACTAGGCCACCAGTAAGTCTTGTGTTTATTAGATTTTTTTTTTAATTTTTTTTTTTTAAATGCATCAGAAGTACAAAAATATAAAAACAAATAAACTTTAGTATGTGAGGACATAAAAACTTAGACATAGCCTACACTACCCAATACCTGATACTCTATTGCTACTTCCAAATAACTTTCAGCTTTTAAACATTGTAAATTAAATACTAAAATACTGTTTTTAAATGCATTTGTCACTGAAGATGTTTACTAATGTAACCGATGCAATGCAGGTGGCAGCAGGAGCAACGGGCCTGGCACAGAGAGCACTTGATGAAGCTACCAATTACGCACTTGAGAGGAAGACTTTTGGCAAAGTTATTGCTGAGGTTTGTTCACTTTTTATAGGTCATGATGTACCCCATTTTAAGTTCAACGAATTACAGAGTTTACTGTAGAAACATATTTTTAACAGTGGAAATACCGTCACAACTCAGCTGTACAGTGTTAAAAGTACAACGATGAGTACAGAATCAAAGGGCTCCTCTGTCTCCTCCCCTTTACAGCACCAGGCCGTGTCCTTCCTCCTCGCAGAGATGGCGATGAAGGTGGAGCTGGCCAGGATGGCGTACCAGCGGTCTGCCTGGGAAGTGGACCAGGGCCGCAAAAACACTTACTACGCCTCCATCGCCAAGGCCTTCGCTGGAGACATTGCTAATCAGGTGGCCACTGACGCTGTTCAGGTGTTTGGAGGCAACGGTTTCAACAGCGAATACCCCGTAGAGAAGCTGATGAGGGACGCCAAGATCTACCAGGTGGGTGATGATGTTGTGCACCTAATCGTTGATAGCTAAGTTATTTGGTAAAACTTCATTGTCTTTAATTTTCTGATTTATTTATTTTTTTTCCCTTTGTAGATCTACGAGGGCACAGCTCAGATCCAAAGACTCATTATTGCCAGAGAACACCTTGGGAGATTCAAGAAGTGATCTCTGCAAGCCTGATTTGTCTGCATTCAAATGTACTTTGTAACTTTTCTATAAACACGTGTTCTTTTAAAATAGATCTGCTTACTTAAACTCAGGATATAGTTGTCAAATGTTTGCCTTAAAATCAGTTCATCCTGCCTTGCTTTTTCATACTGCTCCAGACTGAATGAACATCATCAATACCCGTCTACAGTCCCGTTTCCCAAATGCAGCTCAGAACTGTGGCCTTACTTTGTGACTCTGTGGAGTAAGACCACAAGATCATGTCCTGTAAAGCTTCTGCAGATTGTGAATAATTGCAGCCAGATACAAACTCCACTTTATATATGATGTAAAATACACAACATTACAAAAAATACTGCATTTATTTAGCATTAATCTTGTTACAATGACAACAAACTTGAAAAGGCGGTCCAAATACACACCATCAGTTTAGTTTCTTTTGGTCGGCTAGATTCAGATGATTAAGACGGACCTTCAGCCTTAAGGCTAAAACACACCACCACGGAACGGGCGCCCTCATTTCACGCCACTGTCCTGTTTCCTGCGTCGCCGTGCCTGAGGTTACAAATTATAGTGACAAAAAAATACATTGCCTGGCGAACCATAGCTCTGGAGATTGGTTCTTTAAGTCTGTGCTTGGGGCAACAATTGGCGGGCGTCAAATGAAGCACCGGTGTGTTTTGGTCTTTTTTCTGCCTCTGACGTCATACCAAAAGTGACGTACTTGCAGTGTTTGGCTACTCCTATTGATCAGTGCATTGTTTTCATATTGTAAAGGTAATTTAATTTTGATCTGTACAAATTCATTTCTCACCAGAATGCATTAGAAATAGGAATGTGTGTCTAATGAATTAACTGTAAAAATAATAATAAAAATGCATGTTGTCTGAAAACAGTGTTCTATCTGATTTAACAGTTGCTGTCCGTTCTACATTATTACCCATTATCAAATATAAAGAACCATCAGCAGAAAGTATGGATGTAATAATAAATAATAAAACCTTTCACTAGTTGGCAACACCTATGACATAATGGTGTATTTGTCTAAAGGTTGTAAATCTGCATCATCCATTTATTAAATTATTCCATTAAGTCTAGAATTGATCATGTTTTTGTTGTTTTTATTTATGGACACAATGAATAAATGTTCTGTTCTCATGAAAGTTTGATGAACCAAGAAAAACCAAAACCCTCAAAACTGTTTGTGTCTTGATTTAATGACTTCAGAGGAGAGTCCGAACTGCTTCCTCTCTGGGAGGCAAAATCATATAAGAAAGATTAATACAAAGAATCTGAAATACCAGGCGATTTAAAGTATTTTACAGAATCCCAAATGTGTTTTCAAGGGAGGTTTTAAATTACTACAATAGCTTTAATTCCCTAATCATACCTTAGACAAATACCCTCTGATAGAGATGGTCCTCTTCTGTATTTGTTGTTTTGTGGGAACTTACACAGTTCAGGCTTTTACCTAACCCTTGTCCTCCCACACCACCACAGTCTAACTAGCCACCTGTCAAACTAAATCCCCCCTCAGTCCAGCGTTTTTCCGTTTCAGGAAACATGACGGGTACAACGAATGTGTGACATGTTGCCAGGGCCGTTGAGAGTTTTGGTGACCTTAAACAAGATTGTAGCCCCAAAACAGTGCAGCCACTGAATCACACACACACACATATATAAATAATAGAGATGGACACATTCACTAACATTAAATACCTAAATTGAAGATTGGCAAGTAGTTTAATCTACAATCATTAACATTGTTTGATAAGTAAAAGGAGCAAAACACATTATTAAAAACCGGTGGATCCCACAGGATCATTTTGAAAATGAACAAATCAGATTTTATTAAACTAGAAAGCCAGCTTAGAAATTACTTAGTTTGGATTTGTCTCCTTACCTCATTGATTATGAGAAGAAGTGTTATTCATCAGAATCAGAATTAGGTTTATCGTCAAGTAGGTTTTTACACCTACGAGGAATGTGTCCTGGTGCATTGCTACATAAAATATACAAATATATAAATCACACACAAAAATAAAATACTTACAAAATATAAATAAATAAAGATACGAAAGATACGAAAAGAAAACAGTGCAGAAGACG